AGTAGGCAAGTAGGCTCAAAGAAATCATGCAAGGCCGAGCCCTAGGACTGAGTTTACATTTATTCAGCTATTGTACAATGGGATAAGAAATTCAAGAACATAGTGGTGTGCCTCAAGGAAAACAGTGCTCTCTCTGGAGATAAAGTTATTGCAAAAATTGGGAAGTAGGAATTTTCAGGAGTTACAGAAGACACTGTGGACACAGAAGAAAGTATTGGTACTGAGAAACTGGAATTCTTCAGAAAATCTCACATGTTGGATACCAACACATGGAGTACCTGGGAAGCCTCACATTGACCTGATGTTGAATAAGGACCCATTTTGCACTGGGGGTCCAGCTAAAGACAGGTCTGTTTCAGATGGTCTTTGAAAAGCTCTACTTTCATCTGGCCAGCATGGCTCAGTGGTTGAGAATCAACCTATAATCCAGGAGGTAACAATTTGATTCTAGGTCAGGGTGTGTGCCCTGATTGCCGCTTGATCCCTAATGTGAGGCATGCAGAAGGCAGCCAATCAATGTCTCTCTCATCAATGATGTTTCTATCTCTTTTTCTCTCCCTCTCTGAAATCAATAAAAATATATTTAAAAAATAAAAAATAAAATGCCCTAGTTTCTACAGGGTTACAATTGACTTACCAAGGTCTGGGATAAAGTACTTTGATATAGTCCACCTACTTTTGGTGTCAGTTCACATCTAGTTAAAGAAAATAACTCTAATTTTAAACTAGTGATTGACTCAAGAAGTTGCAAAGTGGCTGATCCTATTATGAAAACAGCTAATAGGGATTTTCCATTAGGCCCGATTTCCATTTTTTAAAGTTTGAATTACTTGCTAAAATGACCACTCAGGAGTCTTAGTTGAGGAGTTGCTTCTCACTTATGACACTGGCCTGGCCCCATCATTTATGCTTCTGATCTTGGACTGAAAGTTTAGCATGGAACAAACTGATTAAATCTCTTCATTTTCCTTAACATTTTAAAAATTCTTTTCAAGTAGGATATAGAATAATGTTGGCCAAAATTGCTTTAATTTACATATATCTAAATGCAAATTCTAAGACTAAATTCCAGAGAAAAAAATTATAACTGCCCTACTTGAAACAAACATTTGCAGTGTAAAAATGTCTAGATGGAAATAAAGCATGGCTAAGCCAGATGGACCGTGAAGTGACATAACTAATAAGAGTTTTGTTTTTTTTTTAAAGCAATTGATTTTATTATTTTTGTTAACAAGTGAGGATCATAGAAAACTTAAAAATATAGAACATTATAAAGAAAAAGATCACCCATAATTGCACTACACAAACACAGCAACTGTTGAGATATTTCAGTTTTTTTTCTCTGTGTGGAACATCATTTCCCCACCTCCTTTAAGATTTAATCAGAGCCTCACCAGCAGGATTAGAAGGAAGGCTCAGGAATGCTGATCTCCATGGTGCATGGAAGTCGGATGAAAGGAGGTTTTACAAGAAGTTTTATGTGGTCTTTTGCAATCAAGAATATTTTGGAAAGGGACTTTTTTCTTCATTCCACACCGATCACTTCAATTATCTAACTTTTTAGAGACAGACATAGGGATATTTGATATGGTCTCTCAGTCCATGGTTTTTAATATTTAGCCCTATCGCCCCTTTTTATCCCAACTCCTCACCACACACTTGCACTATTACTTGTAGGTTGCACAATTACTTGTAGTTGGATGTCACCATTGATGCATTTGTCTCCATTAATGAGGAACCTGGAAAAAAAAATTCCAGCTACTTCCCAGTGATGGAAGAAGATCCATAAACTTCTTAACATTTCTTCTGTTTCCATCTCCTCTCCTCTAAAAATATTTGATTTCTAGCCATCACACCCTGCAACCTGTCATAACCTCTGGGAGGCTGGGTGGAGGTGGGAATAGGGTTCACTGATTGTCTGGCAACTTCTACTTTGGGCCCTACCACAAAACCTTAGCTGAGATAAGAAAATACAGAGACTGGATGATCTTTTTGAAATGGCAAGAAAAAGACACACAGGAGTAACCCTAACAGATAATTTGTTACTAAATATATTACATTTTTAAATATATTTTTATTGATTTCAGAGAGGAAGGAAGAGGAAGAGAGATAGAAAGATCAATGATTTAACAGTTGCCTCCTCACGCCCCCCACTGGGGATGGAACCTGAAACTCAGTCATGTGCCCTGATGGGGACTCGAACTGTGACCTCCTGTTTTATAGGTTGATGATCAACCACTTAGCCACACAGACTGGACTGCCATATATTTTTTGTATAACTAGGGTGATACTATATATACAATTCTAAATTTTATGTTATATCTATATTATAATTAAGCATTTTTGAATATTGTTAGAAACTCTAAGCAAATGTGATTAAGAACCACATAGGATTTGAGCACTAGTGTGCATTTATCCATGTAACATGGCAATAGGCAATGTAAAGTAGGAGCCATGAGAGCAAGTTGTGCAACCACACTGTCTGGATTTTAATCCCAGCACTGCCACCTATTACTAACATAATTTAGGTAAGTAAACTTCACTGAGCCTCAGTATCTTCATCTATAAATGGGCATGCTAACAATATGTATTTATGTTGTGAAAATTAAATGAGCCAATATATGTAAAGCACAGAGAAGAGTGATTTGTGCACTCAAGAAATCCTGACTATTGTTTCAGTACATTGCCATGCTGTGTCATTAAGATATGGGCTTTAGATAGCAGGCCCTCAGTTGGAATCTGAGCTGGGTAAATTACCTAGCTTCTCTGAACTTCAGCTTTCTTACCTATAAAATAAAAATAGTTGCACATCTTTTCAGAGTTCTTGTACCAATTAACTCCAACATTAAAGGTAAATCCTGCAGCACAATTCCTGGCATAAATGAAGTGATCAATACATTATAACTTAATTTTTCCACATCCCCTATGCTTGAAAGAAAGCCTTTAAATAGTAAGCACTAAAAAAATACTTGTTGAATACATGTCTATTGATTGAAGAGCTGGTTCATTACATAATTATGTTCATATAAATGTTTATATAGATTTGAAAGAATGCACATTAACTTACCATGTGGAATAAGATTGGTGAGAGTTAAAGTTTACAAAGATAATAAATTTACATTTTACTTTTATTATTTAAAAATAATTAAAACTACAAAATAAGGCAAGAACTGGGTCTAGTAGCATCCTTGGTTTAGTAGACCATCACAATTCTACAAGTAGCATGAAGGAAGAAGTTGAGTGGCATATTTTTTCCATATCTTTCTAAGATATTTTATTTTTGTTAGTGTATGCTTAGTTTCTGACTAGTCCTTTCTTATCTTATATCTTTGACTTTCTCACTTAAAATCCTTGAAGATTACTCATAAAGATCTTTGAATAACATTATAACCATGATTTTGAACTCTGTATCCAGTAGTTTGCTTGTTTCCATTTTTTTCATTTGTGACATGTTTCTTTGTCCCCCCATTTTTGCTGCTTCCCTGTGTTTGTTTCTATGTGTTAGGTAGAGCTGCTATGTCTCCTGGAATTGATAGAACGACCTTGTGTAGTAGGCTTCCTGTAGGGCCCCGTAGCTCAGCCTCCCATTCTCTGAGCTGGGCACTCTAGGTATGTCCCTGTGTGGGCTGTGTGGACAGTCTTATAGTTGAGCCTTGATTGCCGTTGGTGTCACTGAGAGGAATTGACTGTCAGGCCAGTTGACTGTGGGGACCAGCTGTGATTACAGTTGGAGAGCTGCTATGCAGGAGACACTCCTATGGAGCAGGATTTGCTTCAGTGGGACTTTGGTTCTCACCGATTCTGACCCTTGAATGTGTCACTTATTGATGTGTAGGGTTGTAATCTGCTATATCTGAAGCTGTCCACCAGGTGCACTGGCTCTGGGGCCTCCAGAGAGGTGCAAAGTCAGCCACTGTCCGGGACCACCCAACAGGAGCTATTTATATTGGACTTGAAGGTGCCCAGGTGAGGCTCAGGTGTAAAGCAAAGCAAGCTTTTTTTTTCTTTATTATTAATTTGAAAATTTGAGCAGGTCACATTCCAATGAGATACAGTTTTATACTCACTTCCATGGCTATAATAAAAATAATTAAAAATAATGTATTAGGGAAGATGTAAAAAAATTGAATCACTTGCACATGGCTGATGGGAATGTAAAAGGTTTCAGCTGCTATGGAAATAATTTAGCAGTTCCATAAAAAAGCTAAACATGAGTCCAGCTGGTGTGGCTCAGTGGTTGAGCATTGACCTATGAACCAGAAGGTCATGGTTAATTTCTATGTCAGGGCACATACCCAAGTTTGTAGGCTCAATCTCCAGGCGGGGGGTTTGGGGGAGGGGTGGACTACAAGAGGCAACCAATCAATGATTCTCTCTTATCATTGATGTTTCTATCTCTCCCTTCCACTCTGAAATCAATAAAAATATATTTATTGAAAACAAAAGCTAAACACAATTACCATATGAGCCAACATTTCTATGCCTTTGTATATGGGCAAAAGGATAGAAAAGAGGGACTCAAAAAGATACTTGTAAGATAATGTTCATTGCAGTATTATTCACAATAGACAAAAGGTGAAAACAGCTCTAGTGTCTCTCAACAGATGATTGGATAGACAAAATGTGTTATCTGTACTAATAAAAGGGTAATATGTTAATTAGACTGGATAGACTGGATTTCTTTCAGATATCCTTCCAGACAAAGCCCCCCATTAATGAATTTCATGCCCCAGGCCACTAGTATACATATAATGGAATATAATACAGTCATACAAAGAAACAAAGTTGGATAAACCTTGAAGACATTATGCTAGGTGAAATAAACTAGATACCAAATAACAAATATTGTATAATTCCATTGGTATGAAATTTCTAGAATAGACAAATTCATACAGACAGAAAGTGGATTTGATATAACTAGAAACTGGGGGAGGGGAGAATGAAAAGTTACTGCATAATGGATACATAATTTCTGTTTGGGGTGATAAAAAAATTTCGGAGTGCTAACTTTGGCAGCACATATACTAAAATTGGGAGAATGCGAAGAAGATTAGCATGGGCCCTGCACAAGGATGACATCCAAATATGTGAAATGTTTCCAAAACAAACTAACAAAAGTTTTGTAAATTGATAATAGTGAGGGTAGTACATAATTTTGAATGTAATTATTGCCACTAATTATACAAATAGTGAAATGGAAAATTTTATGTTATGCTATATGTTTTACAACAACAAAATTTCTAATGCAAGGAGCAACTGCCCCCCGCAGTTGCATAAGGAAAAACTGCCCTGTGAGCAGCTGCTTCCCAAGACAACCTGAGGAGCAGCTGCTGCCCACAACTGTGAAAAACAGCTGCCTCACGACCATGCAAGTAGCAGATCCCACCTGCAACTGTGTGAGAACAGCCACCTCATGACTACAAAAGAAGTGGCTGGCCCACGAATGCCTGAGGAGTAGCTGCCTCCTGCGACTGCACAACCCACCACCAAGTTAACAACTGCAGACATGGATCCCATGCCACTTGAAACATAGATCCTTCAGTGAGAGTAAAAATGGGGAGACAGAAGAACAACTCCAAAGGAAAAAAAGGAGGATTCACCAAAAAAGGAATTAAATGAAACAGAGGCATGTAATATGTCACAAAAATAATTAAGAATAAGGGTCACACAGTTTATAATCCAGATGGATGAGAAAATCAACAACATATGTAAGAAGCAGGAAGAAATAAAAAGTGATATAACAACAATAAAACAACAATTGAAAGCTTTCTACAATAGACTAGGAGAAGCAGAGGATCAAATCCTAGCTAATAAACGAGTAATATGCAGATTGACCACCACTCCAACACACAAGATGGCTGCCCCCATGTGGTTAAAGATCCTGCCCTTACATGGACACAAGATAGCCACCACACGATGGCCAGCAGGGGAGGGCAGTTAGAAGCTATCAACCCTGTAGGGGAGAGCAGTTAGAGGTGGCCAGGCCAACAGAGGAGGGAAGTTGGGGGCAAACAGGCTGGCAGTGGAACAGTTAGACATCAATCAGGCTGGCATGGGAGTGGTTAGGGAGTGATCAGTCTGGCAGGCAGAAGCAGTTAGGGACAATCAGACAGGCGAGCAGTTGGGAGCCAGCAGTCCTGCATTGTGAGAGGGATGTCTGACTGCCCACCAGGATCAAGTTTAAATGGGCAGTTTAACATTCCTCAAGGGGTCCCAGATCGGAGAGGGTGCAAACTGGGCAGAGGGACACCACCCATCCCATACATGAATTTTATGCACCAAGCCTCTAGTGTACAACAAACTGATGAACAAAAATAGAACCAGAGTCATAGAAGAATCAAAAAGACTGTCCAACCTAGGAGGGAAGGTGGGCAGTGAGGGCGTATAAGATCAACTAAAGGACTTGTATTCTTGCATATTCATATGAGTATAACCAATGGAGATAGATGGGGGTGTGAGAGGATGTGCAGGGAAGTGGGAGTGACTAGGGAGAAGTCAATGGGGGGTGGGGGAGGAGACTTATGCAATATTGTAAACAACAAAGTATTTAAATTAAAATAAAAAGTAAAATAACAAAATAAAATTTTTTACATAATAAATAAAAATATATAAATATATGACCTCCAATTTAAACTTTTTAAAAGGCTATACATTCACATTGTGAAAAAATTAAAGAATCAAACAATGAGAAACTTCACTCTTGCTTCTGAACCCATCCATCTTGTTTCCTTTACCACTTATGACAGATAACCACTATTATTTCCTTGAGTATCTTTTCAATATATTTTTATGCAAATACCAAGCGAAAATAAAAATGAATGATTATTTTCTCTTTCCATATAAACATACACAGTTAACCCTGGAACACTGGTTTGAACTGTGTGAGTCCATTTGTACACAGATTTTTTTTTTAATAAATAACTGCAAATGTATTTTCTCTTCCATAGGATTTTATCATTTTCTTTTCTATAATTTATTTTACTCTAAGACTACAGAGAGAAGACTGCCTTTACCCAAAACTCATGCCACCCCAACCAAAAATAACTCCCTACACACCCAAATTTAGGATATCTGCAAGCAGATTTCTCCACAGGAAGAGGCACCTGCCTCTATTGTGTATCATGGGGATGAGGCTGGAGAGAATTAGATGAACTCTATTCCCCTAATCATCTCCCTTCCACTCACCCCAGGCTGAAAAATGCCATTAGTCATCCATTTCTTTGAATTCTGGAAACTTTGGATTACTAGAGGAACAAATATAAATGATATCTAAATGCAGAGTATCACAAAAAAGTGTATGCACACTTTGAATAATTATTAATTTCAATGGGTTAAATTTTTAAAAAGGCACATCAATTGAGCTATCATCTATTAAAGTATATACAAACTTTTCAAGACACCTGTATATAAAAAAAATGCCAAACTGTACACATAAAAACCTTAAATAAAAAATGTACTGATAGCCAAGACCGGTTTGGCTCAATGGATAGAGCATCGGCTTGGGGACTGAAGGGTCCAGGTTTGATTCCGGTCAAGGGCATGTACCTTGGTTGCGGGCATATTTCCGGTGGGGGTGTGCAAGAGGCAGCTGATCGATGACTCTCTCTCATCGATGTTTCTAACTCTCTATCTCTCTCCCTTCCTCTCTGTACAAAGTCAATAAAATATATATATTTTTTAAATGTACTGATAGCTTTTTTTTTTTGTCTACTGCTATTGGCAAAAACAAAATTTAGCATACTTTTTAGTGACTATTTGAACAACTAAGCAGCCTTATAACATTGTTGGTGGTGGATATAATCCTGGTGGAGGGGAATTAGGAATGGTTTCAAACATACAAATGTAATCATTCTTTGATTACAACAATCCAAATTTTGGGACTTCTAGTAAAAACTGCACATATAAACTAAAAGTACATAAATTATACATTAAAAATTCTAAATATCGAAAATTCAAAACAACTCAAGTTCTATCAGTAATGAGCTTGTTAAATTAACTATAGTATATTTACACAGTGGAATATTATACAGCAGCTCTTTATATACTAGTATGAAACTATCTCTATAATATATCTTTAAATAGATAGATAAAAGACATAGAGCAATGCATATTTTAATACATTTGACCCTTGAACACAGGGGTTAGAAATGCTGATCTCACCACAAAAAATCTAAGTATAATTTTTGACTCCCCCAAAACTTAACTACTAATAGCCTACCATTGACCAGAAACTTTACTCATACATAAACATTTAACTAACACATATTTTGTATGTTTTTGTAACATTTGTGTGTACACACTTTAACAGATGATATCTCAATTGATGTGCCTTTCTTTTTAAATTTAACCCATTGAAATTAATAATTATTTGTTGGAGAGCACAAGAGACTTTGTTGGAAAGTTTGTAAGGAGGACATTCTGAGAAAAGGGAAGTGTGTGAAAGGCAGCCTGCCTTGTTTATTGGAATTCCAACTTCGGGAAACAGGGGAGTGTTGAAGGTGGTGTCCCTAATTATTCCTTACCCTTTCCAAACTTGTCTGTGTATCTGCAGACCAAGGTGTTTACTGGAATCCTTGTGCTAAATCTCTGAGTTCCCTTGCCTAGAGGACAATGTAAACACACATATCCTCCCAGGATTACTCACCCTACTGATTGTATCTAAAGTGTATCTAAAGATAAAATTTCCAATAAAGGCCTAAGGAGGCAGGCAATAGAGGCTGCTCTGTCCACTAGAGCCCTCTCTTTCAGTCAAACTGTGTCTAAGTAATCCGTTTATCCATTGTTCAGGAGCTGCTGATCAGTCCCGGCAATTATTCAAAGTGTGCATACACTTTTTTGGAATACCCTGTATTTGGAGATCATTTATATTTGTTCCTCTATTAATCCAAAGTTTCCAGAATTCAAAGAAATGGATGACTAATGGCATTTTTCAGCCTGGGGTGAGTGGAAGGGAGATGATTAGGAGAATGGAGTCCATCTAATTCTCTCCAGCCTCATCCCCATGATACACAATAGAGGCAGGTGTCTCCTCCTGTGGAGAAATCTGCTTGCAGATATCCTAAATTTGGGTGCAAAGGGTATTACTTTTGGTTGGAGAGGCATGAGTTTTTGGGGAAAGTCAGTCTTCTGTCTGTGCACACTGGATCACAATTAGTCTGAAAAGTGGGCTGTGAGTCAATAAGCCTAATAAAACTACTTTTAATTTCTATCAATCTGTTGAAGCAATTTCCAAAGAGCCATCTTCTAAAATCTCCTCAAGAAAGATGATCATCTGAGTTTGCAGATTTCATACTATACAGCTCCGCAATTTCTTGAGAGAGACCACAAAGCTATTCAATCATTCCTTTGGGATGAATAAATAACAACAATGCCACATAAACAGCATCACTTGGCTGTGGGGGCAAGCTGTCATTTCTAGAGGTTGGGATGTGGTCTTATATCCAATGGTGCAGCATATGATCATATTAAAAAATTCCAAGGATAGCAGAAATTCAAATGGGTTGGTTTGCTATTTAGCTGCCTGCAGGTATTCCATTTAGATCAGATGCCACATTTTCAAGCCAGAGGAAATGTGAGATTTTGCTTAATTCACAGAATCTCAGAAGAAAATGAAGCTCTTTTCGCACCATGACAAACTAGAATTTTACTCAGACAAGCTTGATATATTGCTGGTCTGTGGTCTAACTCTGATAACATCTCTCCACTCTTCTAAAGTTGCCAAGATCAGAGGCCAAAAGGAAAAAGAATGGAGTTTTTCTAAGACTGAGGTGTCACAGCAAGTAGCCAGGTGATGGTCAGAGAGAAAAGCAAAGAGAGAGGTCTTCTCCAGTATATAAATGCTCTTGGTCAGATAAAATAACCAAGAGACATGATGGGTTTAGGACATCTATAATCAACCTATGCTGGATCAGCGTTTCCTAGTTCTTAACCAAAAAATATTGATTTATGTTTATTATGCTTTATGGCACTTTAGAGCAATTTATAACACTTACATTAAGGAATGGATGAGCCGGGAGAAAAGCCAATATGGTCATGAGAAAAGATAAAGTGCTGTCAGGAACAGTGACTTTCAAGTATCAGGTGCAATTTCTTGCTTTTGCATTTTAT